AGGGGGGGGGGGGGGGGGGGGGGGGGGGGGGGAAGAGCCAAAGCACGCAACCAGTCAGGGCAGACGGGCACTGGAGCAAAATATTCATCCCCACTTAACATGTCAATCAGGATTAATGCCCCCTTACAAACCTCCCCTCTGGGTTCATCCAAGTCCTCTCGCCAGTAGAAAATACGGAAGGCGCAGAAGAGGCGGTAATATATAAAGGCAGGACCTGCACGGAAACCCAGCACTGGAGCGCAGCGGTCTCAGTAGCCCCTTAACACGGACCCTTGGCTTGGACTTTTGTTTCACGTCTCTCTGCGTTTCGTCCAATGGCTGTCAGGCGCAATGACTGATTGTGCGCATATTTCAGGAGGTCTGAGGCTTTGCGTCTAATAAGTCAGCGCGTTCAAAAGTGACACAGTCACTGCGTTGTAATCTTTTTTTTTTTTTTTTCACCCGTGGAATATTCATAAAAAGAAAAAAAAAAAATCTAAAAAAACTTTTCCTATGCTGCAGATGACATTGTGCGCTTGCGGATAAATCTCCGTCTCTATTCCGTTTCTCACTGCTGGAGGACGTTCAGAAAGCACCTATACGTGTGCACCGTAAACATTTTTTATTTCTATTTGTTTGCTTTTTCGCGAGCACTTCCCCAGAGATGGAAATGAAGAGCGCGTGTCGCATGTTTTTCTTCCCGATCCAAATGCTCTTTCATATTGCCAAGGCGAGTTTCCTTTCGCTGCTGCCCTCTAGAAAGAAGGACTTGACCAAGGAGGTGGTATTGGTCACTGGTGGAGGTCGAGGCATCGGGCGACACCTGGCCAAGGAGTTTGCAAAACAGGGAGCCAGAAAGGTATGTGATATCACAACTTAAATAGCTAATTCCTTCCATATTTCTGTGCATGTTTATTGCTCTGTTTGCAGGTATGATTGGCATCATGAGTGACAAACCACACACCACCTCTTTCTCTTTAAGGCAGCCTGGTCACTCCTGTCCACTCTGCCCCAAGTGTATTGTTGTCCCATTGACCGGTGATCTTAGATCATGACCTCTGTGTTGCTTAGCTGGTCCAGTAGGACTGGAGACAGTGCCCTCAATTTTTTTTTGCTCAAGTTTTGGACATAGCTTGGGTCAACCAGAGAGCAAGTCCGAACGGCATCTGTGACTGATTGATGGGATTATGCTTCACACCGACCTGATGTTCTGCTGTCTCGATCTAGGTTGATTTAGGTTCTGACAGACCTATCCGAAAGTATGTATGTACTGGGATGGAGACAGACCCACTTTAAAGTGGGTGTGTGTACTTTTTGAGTGTGCAGGGCTGGGGGAGGGTTGGTGCACAAAGCCCCTTGTGAAACTCCTTCTAAACTTCTCCCATTTACAAGGATTCTTTCTGTTCATCATCCGTTATTGCCATCTCCGCACTGTTGTAAAAAGTCCACCCATATGCCCGACACACCAAAAAGCCACTGTCATGTTTTTAATAAAGCCAGAATTGCAACACACAGGGCGAGCAAAACAAAACTAACCAGAACAAAACAGGTTTAGGGGAAGGGGTTGTATTGCGTGGGCCAATTCTTTCCCAGTCATGTTGTGTCAGACACATTGTAGATTTATTCTTTAAACGTAAAAGATTTGGAATGCTCAGTTAAATTATGTCAAGGAACAGAGAAACGTGAGTCATCTTTATTTTGTGCAGCTGGTCACCAATTTCAATTGATGTAATCCATTTTTCAAAATGTTTTTTTTCATGCAATCTGATATCATCTAAGCATGGAGCTCCTGAACTCCCACTTTGTCCTGTAAAACTGCTGACTACACATTATTACAATGAATTCTTCCTCTGCCAACCCAATGGTTCAACTTTACACAGCTGAATGCCTGTTAAGTAACCATAATATATGGAAACATGGTGACTTTATTTTGATCATTTCAGATGGAAGCCTTAATTACGCTTGGCAAAGAGTCATGGGAATTACAAACTGAAAATTGGCGGCTCCACGGAAAGCTGAGCATTGTAATCATCTTTGCATGTGTGACACAGACATGGCCTCTCAGATGCGCTGTTGAGGTGCAATTTCAGCAGCTTGAAAACATCGCCGAAAGTTGAGCGAAACACTAACTGCTTCCCTCTGTCTATCGGTGCCATGTCCTTGGGGAACGAGCAAGAAGAAACCAGAAGATTTAAAAGCACTGGGTTTGCAGCTGCACAACAAAAGACGTCAGCATGTGTTTCAGCACCCCATTGTTCGGTATTATCAAGGTGTGAAGGCTTTGAAAACAACACCTGCGGTTATATGTATGACAATTGGTCCCTGCTTGAAGAGATGCTAAAAGGGAAATAGGACGGTAATTATGAATAGGGCTAACCACTATGAACTTCCATTCACCCCAGTTTGAGCCCATTTGTGACTGGCGGTCAGTATTCACCTTTTCCTCTGCGCAAACCTCGGTGTGAGGAATACTAACTTAAGAGTTGATTAAATAATTCACTAAAATGAAGAGTGGGAGACTCAGATGGGGATCCAGGTCTTTTTTGTTTGGAGTTGTTGGGGGTTGAGCAATAACTGACCGAAAGTCTGAAACAAAAATACTTGAACATGTTTTCAAAGAGGCATACAGTTACGCTATGAGAGATGTTTTAAAAGATACCACGTAAAATAATTGAAGGATTTTAATCAATCAATTTCTTTAAAGGTCCTTTTGGAAAAGAAAAAAAACGCAACACACTAACTGTAGACACAAAACAGAAATTGTTACTTCAGTCTCATTGCAGAAATAGATGGGTGCATGGAAACTGAAGCAAGCCATGCCACTGACAACAGGTTTGTGTGGGTGTGCTCGTGTTTGGCTGGAGGCGGGAAGCACACCACTCCCAGCTGGGTATTGCCCTGCAACTGACCTTGCTGTCTCCGCAATAATTAGACGGCGGCAGGCGACTGCCTCCTGAACTCCTGCTGGCCCCCCCCCCCCCCGCCCCCCCACCCCCCCTGGGTGCCGATTCTCTGCCGGGCCTTACAATGGGTGTTAAAAAAAAGCCGGGTTCGTACCCACCCATACATTCAAAACCAGAGGATAGAGTGTCACCGTAATTCAACGGAGACTTTCACCACGGCCCATATAGACCGCCATCCGTCAAGGTTTTGTCTTTCAACTACACAACATTAATTTGTTCGTTGGAAAGCCTTTACTCGGAGCATATGTCGACATTAAGTCTTGTTAGGCATGCCTTGTTAGAACAATCACAGGTTTATCACCAGTGGAAAACACAGCATGTGCGGGGTCAATTAGAAAACTGTTTTCCATCCAGATAGCAATTTGGCCAATGCTTGTTTGCTCCGAGATTCCTCTCTGTTGTGATGGGTGATAAACCTAATGAATTAAATAACATTTTAACAGGAGAACACAGTTTAAGTGCGGAGATTTAATGAGAGCTGTCAGCTTTATTTGTCTGTCTCAAATCCTATTAAAAGCTTTCAGTTATTTATCAAGACCCGTCTTCCTTCGCTGATTACTCAAATGAGTTTGCAAATGAGGCAAACAAAAAACCCAATCAAAAGTAACTCAAACTCGGGGCTGTTCACAGAAGGAGGCAAACTCTGACTGCTCCTGCTTCAATGACGCAGTGAAGAGCACGTTGGAAAGTCATTTTTTTATGTCCCCAGAGCTTTGTAGTTTTAATAATTCTGGGATTAGTCTGCCTTTACCTAATGATCAAAGTACAGTTACCATTAGGCTGTTATTGACAGTTAGTAACAAGGGCTTCATAGAAAGGAATTGTGAGGGTTCTTATGGAAATGATAATAATACATCTTCATTATGTAATCTAAGGATCTGGACAGATGCTGTATTTATTCTAAAACAGGTGGCACAGTTAAGCAGTTTCCTGTGATTGGTGTTTGTGTGTAAGATACAGAACACATGCTCATGTGTACCTATCTGTGTTTGTGCAGTCTTTCAATGTTATACTTGATCTCTATAAGTCAGTGTAAGTTTATCCTGCCGACTGACTCCATGCTTGTTTACACATAAATATTAGAGAAACAATGGGGATGGCAGGCTGAATTATGGGCTAACAGACAAGCGGGCTGTCTTTTGTGTAAGCATCCGCACACACGCGCGCATGCACACACACGCGTGCGCAAACAGTCTATGCCTCTCGGATACACAAGATCACTTTCCAGAGGACTTTTCTGCTCAAATATTAACCTTGGTCACGGGCGAACGGCCAGATCCCACAGTGGCATCCTCCGCACTTCACACACGCACCGTTTTCAGACTCTCTGACCAGAAATGACAGGGCTCATCTGCCCAACAGCCCGTGTAATCTCTTTGAGAATTTGTGTTTGAGAGATGAGGAGGGCTCAACCCCTGATTTCATTACCTTTCCCTGACCCCAAAGACTGACAGATCTAATTGCCCAATCACTAGTCCCCCCCCCCCCACCTCTATCAAACCCCACGTCCCCAGCTCAAATGACCAGCCTTCATTTAGCCTCTGGGTGCATGAAGAGACAATTCATTCTCACAGTAACCCCCCAAGCCTTTAATCTCACTCTAAAACTATTTGTCGGAGTGAAAATGGCCTCTCTGTTCTCCAAATGAAAAGATCTTCCAGCATATCCGACTGCCAGAAAAGTTGCATAAAAGATGTCCTTTTTTGTTTTTATCGCCGACTGTGATAAAAACAAAACTCTGTGTTCCTCTAATGACCCCCTCGGTTCAGCTGATTTGTTTCTGATATGTTCAGTTTCATTGCAGAATGAGTTTTCTTTTTATTCTTACCTCCAAATATCTTGTTTTCTAGGTGATCCTGTGGGGCAGAACAGAGAAGTGCCTCAAAGAGACAGCAGATGAAATCTCCCTGTCTGGAACAGAGTGCCATTACTTTGTGTGCGATGTAGCCAATCGGGAAGAAGTTTACAGGCAAGCGAAGGTGGTGAGAGAAAAGGTACACCATCTTTATATCAATAAAACTAGTTCACTTTAACATGGAAGAAAGAGAATGAGTTTAATTAAATAATACACTACAATTAACACAGGATGTTTTCATATTTCCATAAAAAGTGACTGTCTTTCTTCTTGTATTCTGCTGACACTACACTTGAAACACGTCTTTATGAGTTGAAGAAATTGCAGACCATTCTTTATTTGACTGACCTTTTTTTTCCTTTTGCTACACTTTTTAATCTCAGGTGGGAGATGTTACAATATTAGTGAACAACGCGGCAGTGGTCCATGGAAAAAGTCTGATGGACAGCGATGATGACGCTCTTCTGAAATCCCAGCATATCAACACCTTAGGACAGTTTTGGGTAAGCCTTAAATAAGTTGAAGCATAGAAGCCAGAGCCTGCAGAAATGAGAAAAATTCCTCTGAGAAGATTATCCTTATCAGTTTCCTGTTTTGACTATAACATGGCCGTGTGTGCAGCAGGAGCTTGTCAATCATGACTGCTATTATGGCAGGTTAAGTGGGGTATTTCCAAATTGCCTCTCAGCTCCTGAAACATCAGAGGGGTTTTTGAAACTCTTGGCATTTTTATTTTTGAATGGATTTGAAAAGACTTTGTCATATGCAGACAGAAAAGCAATTATCAACAAAATGAAAATGGAATTTAATCTGTAGTGACAGTGGGCTTTTTTTTTTCTCCTGTCTATAATTTCTATTACCCCGCAAAATATATTTCACCTTTCATTTCCACACATCTTCTTCCATCTAGTTACATTTTCTTATTTTCTCTCTTTTTTTTACGTTCTCGCCGTAGACAACAAAAGCCTTCCTGCCTCGAATGCTGGATCTGCAGCACGGTCACGTCGTCTGCATTAACTCCATCCTGTCTCAGTCTCCCATCCCGGGGGCCATCGATTACTGCACCTCCAAAGCGTCGTCGCTAGCCTTCATGGAAAGTTTGACGCTAGGCCTCCTGGACTGTCCGGGGGTCGGCTGCACTACCGTGCTTCCTTTTCACACCAATACAGAGATGTTCCAGGGCATGAGAGTCAGGTAAGAGGATGGGTCAGGGTGGGAATATGTGATTTAAATTGAAGATACAAGAGTCATCTTTCAATAAAAAAAATTCTCATTTATGCTTTGAGGTTGTACATCAGAAAATGTTGATAGAATAGTCAAATTTGAAAAAAAAACTTCAATTTTCAACGAGTTTTCAGATTGTATTACAGTAGATAGTAGATAATAAGAGAATAATATCACTATTCCAAAATTCAAGTACTCCTGTTTTTACATATGTTTACACAAGATGAATATGATTGACAATATTCATGGTCAAATGACAGATTTTTTTAATCAATCATTGGCTGTGTATCCATCTAACTTTGAGGATGGCACTTACCAATATGTAACAATGAGTGATTTTTTTCTAATATCATTAGAGGGTAGATAACTGTGATAAAGAAACCAGCCACTGGTGAGAAGACAAACTAAATTAGTCACCTTGGAAATATGAAGATTTATTGATAATTATTCTCTTATATTAGATAGTGTCATTGATTTTTTTTTTCTGTGAAACAGCTAAAACTCAGACTATCACTTTTTTTTTATTCCAAAAACCTATGGGACCTTACTCCTCTACTGCTGTGTCAAGCCTTTTTTTTTAGCTTTTCACCTTTTTTATCTGAGAAGGGTCCTTTTTTGTCCTCTATCAGTTCATTGTGATTGAAGTTTTTGCTGTGAAAACCTGAAAGGTGCTTTAATCCCCTCTTATTTGAATCCCCTTCTTAAAAAGGAAAAAAAAGAAAAACACCTTGAACCGTCTTGGAAACTGGCATAGCTTTAGTTTGGAAGCTATGAACACAATGTGTCCCCTCTCTGGAAGCATAAAATTTTGACACCCATCAAGCATGAAGAAAGTTAATTCATGAGCGTTGGAGTATGACACTCTTACCTGAAAGCCTCCATTCTCTTTTCCTCTTCAGGTTTCCTCAGCTCTTCCCACCGCTTAAACCTGAAGTGGTCGCTCAGAGAACTGTTGACGCAGTCCGAACTGACAAGGCCTTCCTGTACTTGCCATGGACAATGCACGCACTTGTCATTCTTAAAAGGTAAGACGTCTTCCTTTGACACCTGAACCGCATTTATAAATTTGCCGTTATTATTTGACTTTGTGCTAAACGTTCATCATTGATCTCTCTTCTTTTTTCTAGCTTCATGCCACAAGTTGCACTTGAAGAAATCCATAAGTTTACAGGGTGTTACACCTGTATGAACACATTCAAAGGGAGGACATGAACTTGGACTATGTGAAAGATCGCTACAGTCTCGCGGCGTCATGAAGGGAATAAGGACTTTTAGGCATCTGAAAGTGGAAGAATTCCCAATATATTGTGAAGAGCTACACTTAGGGCACATGCGAGGGTGTCACTTCTACAGGTAGCGTTGTGATAATCTGCACAGTACACCCCGGCATTCTGTGCAGGTGCAAATATGAGTGTGTATATAGCATAGATGACTGAATGCAATACTCACTTTGAACAGAAGCCATGCGTAGGTCTGTACCAGTAGTTATCCTGGGAGGGGATGTTTTCTATCACACTTGTTTACTATTTTTACAGTTCTTTTTTATGCTCCTTTTAACGTGTCTTAAAAAGGTAATAAAACTGAATTTTAGAGTGGGATTGTTTTGTGTATGGGTTTTGACACAGCCTTGTGATTAGATCGTTTGATTTATTCTAAGAAGAGATTGTGTCAAATCATAAAATACTCTCTTTGGAGGCAAGTGGGGGCATTATCTTGTTTGTTCTAAGCTTTCATAAAGCATAAAAAAGAAATGCAATTCTCAATGAACATAAGCTCAAATAAGATCTGTCTAGCCCTCTGCATGTAGGGGGATTTTTTTTTTTTTACCAGAATCAATTAATGTGGACACGCACGGACCGTTTTATTTATTGCACCCAGCTGTCATTATAATGCTTTCATTATTCAAGTAAAAAATATTTTTTACTGTCTGTTTGCAATATGATGATATATCAGATTCCAATTTGCCAGCTTGGCTCATACTCAGACAATCTTAAGATGTCTGCAAATGCAGCATATTTGTGTTCGTAGATCAAGGAAAACCTCAAAGAAATGTGTAATTGAATAAAGGAAACAATATGAAATCTCTTTTTCTTTATTGCTTATGAATCTCAGCAAGTTTCAATACTTTTGTTCAGAATGGGGGAATAGAGGAGTAGAATATGTCGGATTAAATATATCAATGCCACCTATTCCCAATGACTTTTTTCCTTGTTTTCTCAGAGGAATATTAGAAAAGTTATTACAACCAAGATCCACTGATGACTCAAGAAACTTTCTGCAAACTAACTGTGGAACTGAAGTTAAGCAAGGTCTATATTCCCTCGAAATCTGCAATGGCCTGCAAATAACCAAAACAGCTAAAACAATCTATGTCACGCCATGTTCATATTTTATCAACTGAAACAGCATTTGGACACCACACCATTTTGATCACCCAGTATCTTCTAGAACAAGAACATATGTCCCATATGTCCCAAAAGTGGACATCTATGTGCACTCCTTCACGAAAACTGCATGAAAAAAGTTGACTGAAACTTATACTGAATTTTGAAAAGTTTAGTGTGCATGATAGGCAAGTGTGGATGAGTTGATCTGTCCCCAACAGGGGGAAGTAATACATTACTTGACTAAAATGATACGACCCCTAGACACAATGAGCTTCAGTTAGATAAACAAGGTTGTAGGATTTGCAGTTGATATGCAGAATATCTGATCATTTTATTGTTTATTGAAGGGAAACCAAGATCTGACTTCTTGGGGTTATCATAATAAAAGCTAGATGGTGTAGTAAGAACAAGATTCCTCTGAATTTCAGTTTCTGAAAGTCATGTGGAATCATTTCAAGGATTTCTTTAAAAAAACAATTTCCTCACACATTTAGTCTCTAAATGTTGTATCATTTCACACAGAATAGTAACGGAGATGTATTTTTTTTCTTCTTTGCATCACTGGTGTGTGTAGTTTTGCACTTATTAAGGTGATATTTTCATACCACAGAACAGTCCAAGCAAGCTTTTCTACAATGTGAAAGAATGAAATCACATGGTGTCATTCAATGAAAAGTAATTTCTTCCTCAGCAAAATGAAAATAAAGGCTATTATTTGACATATTATTCATCACATTTTTCCCCCACTTAATACTATGTGGGGCAGAGGGGAAAACCTCTGTGGGGTTAATCATGAAGCCACTGGATATGTGATATTTCCATGACTTGAAAAGGGTATTTACAAAGTCACAAATAGCCCAGATGTATTTTTTCATTCTCCAGAATCCCCATATTCAAGAGAGATGGGGATCTTAGATTCAGACTCAAAGAGAGACATCCCAAATCTAAATCCAAGTCAGAGAGTGACTGTAAAAGCTGGGATAGTGCCTGCCCTTTGGCAACCGGACAAGGCCCATAAACATTCATTTGAATCCCAGCGACCCATAAATGCCCTCCTGTGCAGTCTTTATAGGGCCGCACATTGTGATCAGTAGGTGACCCACACTGTTTTGGAAGAGCGTTGGGGAAAGGCAGACATCGCCGAGTAAAACCTGAGCCTCCTTTCGCGAGCCTGTTTCTCATTCTCTTAGTGGGCTGTTGCGAAAGCAAGGGGGAGAAGCAGCATATTGGGATGAAACTAGGTCGAGGAGGCATGTTGTGCACGTATGCTGGAAAAGGAGGGCTAAAATGGTTGGAAATCTCTCGGGGCAGGTTCAGTGCAGGGTTAGCCAAATACAGAATAAATCAAATGGGGGGGCTTGGAAAAGTGTTTTTCCTACTGAAGACACTCAGCTCCAGGGTGACTGACCAAGCGCAGGTGGAAGCAGAGGACTTATGGTTTAGGGCACATGGGATGAAATCTGAGAGTACTGCCGTCTGAGCTGTAACCATATTCCCAGGTGCCTCTGGACAGTAGACTTGCATTGTAGGTCTAATACGGTTTGAGCAAATTTTGTGCTCCAACTAAGTTTTACGAAATGAAATTAACTGAATGAATGACTTTGATTCTAACCACAAAAATGTTTCCACCAAGCTTATCTTACATGTTTGCTTATCCTAATCGGTCCTCCCATTACAGCTGACATTAAATACACTAAAATTCCCTTTTTTCCTATACTGTACGCAGTCCAAGCATGTGTAATCCCAACACAGGGGCTTGGAGAGTCAGTCTGCAACGATCCATTAAATATATTATAGGTGCCTGGATCTGGAGTCCATTGGGTTGTTGTGCAGTGATGCTGAACGCATGTAAAACCTAAGCCAGCCCTGAATTCTGTCATTATTCACATCACATACACTTACGAATTCAGCGACTCTGGATTTCCTGGAAAATGGTTCACTGAGAATTTTAAGCTTGATATGGCTCTGCCGCATATTATAAATGGGTTTCCAAACCATTTGAGAAAGATTTTCTCTTTGAATTCATGGTATAACTGAATATAGATATATTTTTTAGTACTACTGTCTGTTTCATATATTCCATACATTGTGTTTGTTGAATCAGTCATGATGCAGAGTGTGTCACGTTTGAGGTCTTGAGAGAAATCCTCTTGCTTTGTGCTAGCACCCTCAATACAAGTGCTATCAGATAGGTGATCAACAGACTATTACGTGCCATAAACCCCATACGTTTGTGTGCCTTGTGGACCCAGTCCAGAGTGAATAGCTAAATGACACTGAAGCCAGGGGCAACGAGAAGGTAGCAGAGTTCAGTGAGGTGTTATTTGTTACAAGACCTTATCCGCTTTCCCTGAACAATGCTGTCAGCCCTCTCTCTGGTTTACTCCTGGGTTCATCCATCACCGGATAGGTACTATGATAAAAAGGCTCAGTCCTAACCCACAGCAAGGGGCCGAGCGTGACGCCTCAGTTGACCTGTCAAGGCCCAAGAGTTATTGTACACAGCGGTGTTAAAGGTTAAAGGCAACGGCAAGCTTGGAGGATGTCAGTATGTATGTATAAAAGTAGCCGCAGTCCACGCTAGAGTAAAAAGATATTAAAGGCATTACATCTTGAGAGACAGGTTAAGTTTGAACATACGTTCCTGCTGCAGTCGCTTGGCACTGTACGTTCTTAAAAGTATTAATTAGCTGTGAAAATAACAAGCACAGTTGGCATGAATGTGTCTCCTCCATACTGCACAGCTATACCAGTTTCCGCTTGTTTTGTTGCTTCAATTATGTCACAGTTTGCCATTTAGGAAATGCAGCTTTAACAGGTAAATGCATATACAAGTAAATGCCTACATTTCTGGAATGTCAATAGATTATATAGAGCCATGCTCGACCTTTTAATGCCCGTACCGAGATAGCAAATGGGCCAGCTGTCATGCAGTTGCATGTTGAACCAGTAGAGAACAAACATAGCTGATTTGAGTGTTAGAAACATATCATACAAGTTTACTTTTCTTATTACAGACAATTACACACAATAGTGTGTAATAGAAAAAACTTCCGAAAAGAATGGTGTCCTTTATTCCTCTCTCATGTTAGGCCTTTCCTAAATGTCACTCGTGAACATTATTTTGAAAAATATCATGAGACATCTCAAGAGATGCCTTTACATGACATTATTTTCAGTCAATAGAATACCATATATTACTTTAAAAAAAAAAAAGAATTTTGTATGATGATTTAGGGCACAACTCTTCTGGAAATTAAGTGTTCTGGAGAGTACCCCTGCAACATCAAAATGAGAGGAGTATGGCTAATTAAGTGCTTAAAAATATCACACTGTGAACTAAATTCACATGTAAGACATCACTTTTTTTAATGGCTACTTGTAATTTTCAAGTAAAAAGTGATATCAAGGGGCAGATCTTCCTGGATGCACACGGACCAGAAATTTCCCTCTGGGACATTAACCTGCACTATAATACCAAAGCACTCTGTTTCACATGTGGTTTTCAGTGTTAGGGCTTTTGAACGCTGACAGTTAACAGGGAGAAAGTGGGAGGCTTAGAACTGAGGGACAAACAAAGCAAGGCCTCCTTTTCACTGCGAGCAGAAGGCAAGCACTCAAAGGGAAAGGGTGTGTGAGGGTGAAACACAGTTCACACTGCGCGGATGGCCTCAGGATATTTATAAAGCCCACCAGGCATCACGTCAGGAGAGCTCTGCTGAAAAATGTTGTTCCCAGATGGACCGTTTCAACCAGATTTATTTATTACGGAGCGGCTTCCTCGCAGATTACGCAACACCAGCGCGGCGTGCGTGAACTTCGTGGCTTGGTGTCGGTTGCCAGCGGCCTGCCTTGCTCAAGGTGAATCAGATGTGGGTCAGATAGAGAGCACCACCATATGACTGCCCTTATTTGAACATCAGAGAAGATTTTAAAAAGCTTGCGCAACCTCTTTGACATGGCTTTACTCAAGGCAAAGACATGAGGGCCACAGGGCTTTGAGCATTATACGTCCCACTGTACAAAGTATGACTGACGGGAATGAAAATGTGGTGAAAAATTAAGCCTCATTATTTAGTTGGGGAAAAAAAAAAGTATTTAGGTGATCTTATTCAATTCCTTTGGCACAGAAGCTCTCAATTCATCATAGGGCTATATTACACAAACAAAGGCCTCCCAAGCCTACAGCCTCGCAGGCAGGTCATGTGATCAGAGCTGGCGGCCTCCATGAACTACACCTGAACTTAGCTAAATGGAAACAGACCAAACACAGGGTGTGCGTCAGGATGAAAGCATCCCTCTGGAGGGCTGTAACCGCGGGTTCTGAAAAGAGGATGTGGGTATCGAGCAGCAGTCGAAAAGCTGGAAAGCTCAACTCTAAAAGACTGAGTCAGCATGGCGCTTTTTGTTTCAAGTCTGAGCAAAAATCTAAGTAAAAACGTTCACGTCGCAAGGCAACAATTTGGGGGCTTTCAAATTAGGGGTTAAAGGATTAAAATAGAGTGGAAAGACTAAACTAAATAGAAGCCACAGAAATATATTAGCACCCATAGCACATTAAACAAGAACATGTTGGCAACTTTCGCATAAAACACAGCTATGAAAGAGTGGGAGGCAAAGCCACAGCAGCCATCCTCCCACACATGACATGTCGCTGAACCTAAAGATGGGTTTGCGTGTTTTTATTGCACTTG